CTTCCAAACAAGATAGGATAAATGTATTTCGTGTTTGACACACACGTCAGTTCTTATAGCGCTTCCACAGAGAACAGAGCTAGCTAACAAGAAAAGCGATTAAAAGAAAATAACTCGGGAAACTCAGATACAAAGTGAGTATGTGTATCTAGTAAATGAAGCATGCTGCGTGTGATTGATTGTACCCCAATTTGATCAGAGGTTTGACATGCAAAAGCAAATTTTACGACCCTATATTCCTGAATACGTGCAAGGATCTAAAAATCCGCTGCGTAAAGCAACTTAATGAGTTAATGTAGAACAGGAATGATGCACTGGACTGGACATCATATCTCGCGCCAGTTCCGGTATCCAGCCAGATACTACAACATATTTGGCTGCGGATACTGCGTGAATATTGTTTATTTATGGTCCAGATTTTCTTTTCAGGAATGATGTGCATGTAAATGGTTAAAAAAGTATAAGTAATCAGATTTTATGCTTGAAATGATCGTAGAGAAGCTGGCAATATATAGTTTCAACTTTCATGCTCGCTGCAAATGTGAAAAAGAGGATTTCAAATTGGAACCAGTTTTTGAGTAGGGCTTTTCCAACCATGTATGTTTATCAATGACTGTAAAGTTCTTTCCTATAATTTCAAATCAATATGCTTTAACACCATCATTTTATAACCAGTCAATATCCTATTTTATATAATCCTATATATATTATTTTATAATCACTCTATGTCCGGTATATTTGGCTGGATTTTCCAACTATTTGGTATATCTGGTAGTCGGCTGGATAGTATATAAAGCTCTACCCGGTGCATCGCTAATTAATCTATAATAAATTAGGGACGGAAATTTTCCCCCTGACATGATATTTTCTACTCCTTTCTGGTTAAGTTACCGTCAATCAGTTATATAGATAACACAAAGGAAGAATTGTTCTTCTCTCATACAAAGCCATAGAACTTGATTCAAGGCCGTTTTTTAATACCATGCATGGCCAGACTGGTAGGACATCTGCCCCATTGATACCCTTTCTCTGCTCCACCACTTAAGAAAAAAATGGCATATTGCCCCAAAGCTAGGGCCTTATAGGACCTGTATTGAGTAAATGAGTTTAACATTGAAAAGAAATTTAAAATTATAATTATTTTATCGCTTTATGTAGACGCGAGGAGACAACAAGTGGCGACGTACGTGTCACTTGTTCAAAGGCAAATATCGCAAACTCTGTTTCTCTGTAATGGTAGATGAGAGGCCCCTGCGCAATTGCCTTAAAAAAGGAAGTGGGGAATTTACTGAACTATATACTTTTAGCCTATACATACAAGCCCGTCGGTTTGAGATATGATTCCACCAAGAAATGGTTGTCAATATATTTTCCCTGAAACTTAGCTCAATTAATAATAATTCAAATTAGTACTTTTCAAAAATTAATTAAGAATAATATAGGGGTTAACATTCTCGTTTCTGTGCTTGATGCCCTTAGAATATAATGGCCTATTGTTCTAAACCTTTTGGTAATACGTGCTTAAATACCGGAAGAACGCCTTGAAGAATACCCTTCATTTTGAAGTTCATCACGAAAATTCGTGTTCATTACTATTTTAGGGAAAAATGGCTTCAATTGTCAAAAAGTCCTTTATCCTATCTCTGGTGTTGTTTTCTGTCTTTATCTCCTTTCCAGTCTGCGAAAGCAATGTTTTTAGACGTTGCTGGACAACATGGAGCAGATGCAGCCGGTGGAGTTCCTGGGGAACAGGACGGATTTGGCAGTCGTGCTCTTACAGGTGTAGATGTCGTGGATATGGCGGAGGGGTATGTCGCTTGGCTGGAGCAAATTGTTTCTGGATCAAAAAAGCTTATCAATGTCAATGCTACGGAAAGCGTCGTGGGCCTAAACCGTCGTGGTGTGGTTTTTGATAGTTTCTTTCCTATAGCTGACGCCAACGTACTATTTAGTTATTTGTTAAACCTGTTACTGCACCAGTATAAGGACAATTAGAATATATACTAGGTGAAAGACATAGAATAATAGATTCTAAGGTATGTAATGATGTACATGCAGGTACTTCTAAATAAAGAATATTGTTTCCAACAAGTTTTTGTAGTCACAATTTTTTAAACCCTTTTTCTTCTTGATCACATGTTTACATGCACTTTTCGCGCTTAGAGTTTAAGGTTTAAGATTTAGAGTTTAGAAGGACAACCTCTTTGGCGTCTACTGTAACAGTAATCGCCATATGCTGTCGACAAGAAGTTTAGATATATGTATGCGGTATGTTTGTATGCAGTTGGCAGTTCACTTCTCCTGGGAACAGGCTCTTTGGTTTAATATTTGTAATTATTATAATGTTAATTAATTATTGGCCTAGGTATAATTGACATCTGCAATTTGTTGTTAAGTAAGTTATTTACAGCTAATTCAAAAAAGGTTGTCCTTTGCAAACCCTATATAAACTCTACTTAAACCTTAAACTATATATATATATATTTATAGCACCAAATCGTCCCATGTGCTGTGTCTAATACAACTAGTTCAGCTTCTTTGTATATATTGTAAATAGTTCATCTAAATTTTATTGAAGGCCATTTGGTAGAGAATATCTTTTCAGGTAAAAATGTGTATTATTTTACCTTCATCAACATAAATTAAGTTTATTATTAAAACCACTAACCACTTACACACCAGTACATAGCATATATTATAGCTGCTCAAGTAACTTGATTGAGATGCATGCAAATATGAAGGTTTCAAAAATAAAAGAATAATATACATGGGTGCGCGGAAATACCATGCAGATTTATTTCGAGTGTTTATTATATAAAGTACAGTCGTTGAAAAGCAATAATTTTTAGAGAAAAGCGATAATTGAAAAGCGATCATTTTCACATGTGAGATTATCATAAATAATCTCACATGTGCAATTATGAGCTCAGATGATCACTTTTATCAGTGCTCGAAATCTCTATATAGAATGTTCCGGGAAGCTGAAACATGATTATAAAGTGACTCTTTTTTGTAAAGAATAAGAATTGTACATATAATATAAAGTGACTCTTTTTTGTAAAGGTTAAGAATTGTACATATAATATATAGATTAGAGGGAAAGATTTCTACAATATGTATTAAAATGCATGAGCACGATCCGGCGTCCCAGGATTTTCGCCCCCCCCCCTACATTTTCGCCCCCCGGGGGGCGAAAATCCTAGGAATATCGCCCCCCCCCCAGGGGGGCGAAAATCCTAGGAATTTCGCTCCCCTTTAGGAAATTCGCCCCCCTTTAGAAACTTCACCTTTTCTTTAGGATTTTCGTCCTTCGTTCAATATTTCGCCCTTCCTAACAGTTACATGGGATAATTATTACTCATGGCTTTAATCATTTGAAATCAGCATCAATTCAAAATTGTTAAGACAGAGCTTGAAATAACAACCGATCACCGATCGGCAAGGAATTGCTTATGATCGGCGG